AAACGGGCCTTAATTTCTCTCAATTTAATTGAGGATTTTTGTTTTCCCCATCTGGGTGCTGTGGTGACATAGTAGGCTGCTACTCACCAGCACCGGAAATTCAGTAATTCCAAGATGGAAACTTTACTATCTGAGAATTGATTCTCCCCACCCCCTTTTCCCCTTTCTTTTTGAATAATTAATAATGAATATTTGAAATTACAAACATGCAACCCTGTTACTGATCACAGCCCTGCGATCTTCTAATCAGAAGTTTGAGGTCCCGTTTGATAGAAAGTATTAAAAATTAGAGATATGGATTGAAAAAATCTATTAAAATAATATCTAACATAAGGGATTGCCTGTTATATGGGATTAGCTAAACCCATATATGTGAGATTAGGGAATACTATGGGGGGAAGTGGTATTCCCCAATCCTACCTCTATAGATTGGTCTAATCTCATGTAACAAGCGATTGCTCATGCTAAATACTATTTTAATGATTTTTTTAATTACAATCATAATTCTTATCTCTCGTTTTTAGTGATTTGTACCAAACAGGAGGTGAGACTCTTGCTGATCAAGGTTGCGCAATAAGTACAAGCCGGAGGACATGTTTCGAATGGTTTCTTCTGCTGCTCATTGCGTTTGCCGTCCAGCCGCGCTTCATCCTCGAATGAGCATTGTTAGTGCGCGCGCGCACGCAAACGCACACATATATCCGTACGTACCGTGCATGTTTTTGCATTTCAAACTACAGTTTGGTCCCATGCATAAACGTTATTGGGAGAATTTTAATAAATCTTTCACCCGACAATTAACATCAGTCAACTCTCAAAAAATTCTGACTGCACTCTCAAGAACCAAAATTTTATGGATGAAAAGACAAAAATAATTCTATATGAGGTTATGAATTCTTCTATGTTTCTTGTGAATTGCCAAATTTAAATTGCAAATCGTTAAATTTTGATTGTGAATCACTGTTAAAAAAAAAAAACAATTGTATCTAGTGGTTGTGAATCACTTATGTTTCTTGTTTCTGATATGGCTCACTATAAATCTTACCTACACTGATAAATCATACATAAAATGGTTCAATTTTTCTTCAGTTTATTTGATTATTAATTTTTTGTCTCCGTATAAAAGAAATTTAATTATTGGGATTGGATCTTTTTTTAGAATAAATGCAGTAACCACCCCCTTTATTTTACCTAAATTACATAATTTTTTTCTACATATATATAAATTAAAAAAGTGACTTTGGTAGACTTCTAACTTATTTTCATGTTACTACATTTTAAAACTAGAGAAAAATGTTATGTTCCAACATAAAAAAGTGGATAATATTTTTTTTTGCAATTAGATATAATAAAAGAAAATAAATAAATTATATATTATTTGACATTGTTAATAAATATGTAAGAAATATAATATAAAACTAAAAGATGGATGGCACGACCATATGTGGATTAAAAACCTGAGGAGAAAACGAGGCGGTTTCTACACGCTATTTTTTCTCTTCACTTTTTTTTTTCTTCTCACTTTTCCCCCTCATTTCCAATTAATTTAAGGGTTGACTTCTCTCAATTTGAGCATTTTCTTCGGTTATCTGGATGCTGTCATGACATGGTAGGCTTTTGGAAAGCAGGATGCCTTAACTTCTGGAATTCAATAATTTCAAGATGAAACTTGACTATCTGGAATTGATTTTCTATTTCTTTTTTATCAGAAAAGATTGAAAAAGGTCAAAAAAGGTTGAATTTAATTAATTAATGTGACGGAGCAGGTGGTTCAAGCTTTAGAAGGAGCGATTCGCCGGGACAGTGATCTGACCGAGGACGGCGCCTGAAGAAGTCAACAAGAGGCGTACGTGGCGGAGACTATGAGAAGGATAGCACTAGGAACGTGTGGCAATAAGAAACTTCACGATAAAGACTCATTTTATAGTATAATTTATATTATAAAATGAGTATTATAAAATGAGTCTAACATTTAGAACAGATGGAGTATATATATAAATATAAATAAATAAGCTATATATATATGGCATGCGTGTTTTTCAAATTAAATGAACCCATATACTAATTTATTTCAGAAGTATGTTTTTTATTGTATTGATGGTTTCATTATTGAACTTCCGTAAGAAGCATATGTATGAATTGGAATAATTTTGAATGAATTGATATGGGGATTTGTCATAAGTACCGATTGGTATGTAATCCTTTAGTAAAGCTGTTTAGTTTATAATGAACCATATTTGACCCAATTAGCATTCAAAAGAATTAAACTTTTTAAAAACTTTTTATCCAAAGTGGAGCACTTTTTCCTAAGAAATGACATTTTCTAAAAAACTTCAAAAATCCAAACATTTGATTCAAATCCAGGTTCAGGGGTTCAAAGCTCTATATTGAAAAATCTTTTTAAAACTTCATGATAGAAAATAAAACCCGGGTTCAATGTATTTGGCCTTCTCAAACAATGAAGTGTTATCATATATTTCTATACCTCAAATCCTACTAACTAGGATTGATTAGCTACCTGTTGTTTAAACTCAAAACCTTTATACATGCATAATAATTTGGCATATATGAATGATCCAAGGAGAAGACGAACGATAATGGATATTTTTTTAATCTAAAATACGAAGTGATAATAAAAGTTAAAAAAAATTGAGCTGAATGATAATAAAAGTAAAATTAAATAAAACAAAAAAGAGGGAGAAGAGCAGGGACATTAATAATGAACACAGGTTGGCATTTTCTTCACGCATAATAATGATGCATGTCTGAGCTTGGTGTGGGAGTGAGATTAGCCAAATAAAAACCTCCTTCAAAGATAAAGGACCAAAATATTATAACATATTAATCCTCCGGTCCTTAATATAGGACCTAATTGTTAAGTTAATTTTGATATTAAATATAAGACCTATTTATCATATTTATCAATTTTTTCTAAATTACCCTAATGGATATTCCCTCAATCATAATCAAGTGAGTGAGAGAGGGAGGGAGGATATTAAAAAAGATTATTATGACATTTTAAGAAAAACATGTCATATTTTTTATAAGTACTAACTTACCTAACTTTCTTAATATAATCAAATTAATTAAGTAGGTCTTATATTAAAAACGGAGGAATATAATATTAAAGAAATGATAATGTGAGGGCGCGGGTCCATAAGAACAGTAATTCATACTCATAGGTACAAACTCTTCCATGGTCCAGCTATAGTATTGATAACCCCACAGTTAGCTAGTCTTCCAGCTGACGGTGACAAAGTCCTTATTCCTCTCTTAAAATAATATGAAATATACTAATATAAAAAAACTTTAAAAAATCAAAACTCTTTTTAATCGGGCTTTTCATTGGAGCCATTGAAACTATAAAGTCCGTGATGTTAATTTTTCTTACTCCATTATATTCTTAAAACTTAAATCTATCTTCATTTCACAATAACGATATAGGAAGATTATTTCCTCTAATCCTTATTATAAGGCAATTTTTTTAAAAAAATATTTTTATTAGATATTTAATAATTTCAATGAGTATTAAATAATTTTTTCATATACACTCATATTTAACATTAAAGTCATGCTTCTTTGGTTTTATATATGGATTCAAAAGTCATTTTTCTAAATTTACAATTTTCACTTGTTAGATATACAGGTGGATAATCTCCGTAATTTTTTCAGACTTTACATACATATTTACAAGCATTTTCATCATATTTTATCAAATTCGTATGACTTATTTAGACATGAAGAGCCCCTTATTTGGGACATATTTAATTATTTAGATCTTAAAAAATAGAGCAAAATAAGTCATTATTATATAAGTACAATTAAATAATTATCTGGCTGTAAAAATATGAGATGCCCAAACGTTTTCTAATTTCTTGAGAATAAATGTGGAGACCCAATTTGACCAATTGTTCAAACCTGACAATACAAAAGTCATTAAAAATTGGGGAAATCATTGTAAAGTTCCAACAAAAGAATGTAGTATTCTTTAAAAAAAATCTCAATAACAAGTAAGTAATATCAATTTGTTATTATTTTTTACGCTGAAATTTGTTATTGAACGTTGTCAACTTGTTATGAAATGTTTTTTATAATTACGTGTTTTGGGGAGAAAAGAACTCCACAATGATTTTTTGGGTCTTCGCCAGCTCAGACGTGGATCATGGGTCAAGAAAATTCCAAAGCAATCGATCTCCCTAATTAAATGCATCCAGCCTGCATCTGTCAGTGGTAAGGAACAGTGCAACTGAGCTGATTTAATTAATATTCCATAATTTTGACTGATACAGAGTCAACGTGGAGTCAACGAGTCTTGCTATATACCAGAGATTCCTTGCTCGCCGCTGCTTCACAAAGACGGACTTGCACGAAGAAGCCACAACTCTTCGCCGGCGATGCATCCACCGTCTCTGGATACACCTCTCCCCTACTACAGACTCCAGGATTACAATCCAGAGGCCCCCACCTGCGCCTTACTCAGACTCGCCGTCTGCGCCTGCGCCTGCGCCGCTCCTCCTACTGGCCGTCTCCGTCTCCATCTACGCCTGCGCCTGCGCCTGATACAGGCTCCTCCTACTGGCCGTCTACGTCTCCGTCTCCGCCTGCGCCTGACCCCGACGGCCCCTACTTTAGGATGTTGACCAGTGAGTGCTATTAAGAAAATGAGAAAATATATGAAGTTTTTCATTTCTTCAAAACAAAACCCGCGTAGCAGCCACAATAAAAAACAAGAGAAATTAATTTCGTCGTGAACCAAATATTAACGTTGTAAGAAATAGATACTAATTGACTTTAATTTATTTCTGAGTCTTGGCCAGCTCAGACGTGGATCATGGGTCAAGAAAATTCAAAAGCAATCGATCCCCCTCATTAAATGCATCCAGCCACAACGACAGAGGCAGAGTCAACGTGGAGTCAACGAGTCTTGCTATATACCAGAGATTCCTTGCTCGCTGCTGCTTCACAAAGACGGAGTTGCACGAAGAAGCCACAACTCTTCGCAGGCCATGCATCCACCGTCTCTGGATACACCTCTCCCATACTACAGACTCCAGGATTACCCAAACTCGCCGCCTGCGCCTGATACAGGCTCCTCCAACTGGCCGCCTCCGTCTCCGTCTGCGCCTGCGCCTGATACAGGTTCCTCCTACTGGCCGTCTCCGCCTGCGCCTGACCCAGACGGCCCATACTGGCTGCCTCCGATTCTGCCCAGATCGCCGCATGTGCCCCACCGGTCTCTATCAACCATGGTAATTGCAGGACCAGTGATTGGTTTGGTGCTGATTATAGTGGGGTTAGTATCTGCTGGTTTATTTATACGGAGAAGGAACAGGGCGAGAGAAAGAGAAAACCCCTCTGCACCGCCACAACCCCAAGGTATAAAACTCTTTCGCTTTTCTTTCGTTTCAGGATTTTGCTCGGGAAGGTTTGGTAGAATTGGTCTTCCCTCTTCCCTCTTCGTCGTTTTTATTTAATTTTACTTTTACAATCACTCAGTGTTTTGCATAAAAATTATCCATTTTCGTTCTTCTTCTTGGACATTCATAAGAAATTATTATACAAACTTTAAATAAGAAATATGTGTGTGTGTGTGTGTGTGTGTTTTCAAATATCATTCAACGTGATCATGCAGAAAAACGCTCTTCCAATCTCAGAAGCACTCATGCATCATCATGTCACGAGAGTTATTTGTTTTAATTTTTCAACAGTTACACTATCTCTAAAGACCCCTTTTCTAGCTATACATGTAATTTTTTAAATTGACTAATAACCCACTAGCTATATATATGCCTGAACAATTATTTAGATCTCCTCTGCTTAGAGAGAAAATATTTTTTTGAAAAAAAAAAGATTAATAAAACAAGAAGATCTGTGTTTTCTCCTTCCTCTTTTGTCCTTCGGATGTGGGTTCTCCCACTTTCAGATGTGTCCATAAATACACGCATATATATATATATATATATATATATTTATACGCACACTTACACATGCATACATATTAATTTCAGATTTTTAAATTCAATGATGTTAACCTATTAGCTGAAATGGTATTCGAATTTTCTGCATAAAATTGATGTCTTAACTGGTTCTTCTATTGTTGTATTTGAAAACTGGTTCTTGGCATATTTCATTTACTGGTATTATTAATCGAAAATGAAAACATTTTTTTTTGAAATTTTAGCTGAAATATATTTTTAGTCCCTTAATTTTAAAACATAATACTAAACATATTAATTTTAATTTTTAAAACAACCATGATGGTTATAAAAATAATCATCACTTAAGACTAACAATTTTAAAGTTAAAGAACTAAAAATATATTTTTAAAGTTAAAGTACCAAACTAAAATCCTATATAAAATAAAAGCACGAAATATATAATTTTGTCTAAAATTTTTTATGTGACCTACAAGAGCCTTTTGTAAGTAGTATCTCCAAGAGCCATTTTGAAGCTTTTGCGTAGCGAAGTATATGGGATCGCTTACATACCAAGCCCTTTGGAAACGCTTCTCTAGACCCCCCCGGGGGGGGGGGGGAGGTGGTTTAGGTTTTTTCTTTGTTTTTTTTTCATAGCAACAAGTTGGGTTGGTGTGACATCTATTAATCTATTAATGAAAAAATGATAGAAAATACTCATCGCTCCTAAATATAAAACTTACTTTATAGTATAAATTATACTATAAAATAAGTCTTACATTTAAAATAGGAGGAGTAGTTTAAAATTATTTAATTATATGCAAAGATTGTCAATAAAGAGGGGTGAGCAGACAATCTTTAGTTCTATGGGAAAAATAGAGAAAGAATAAGGACACTTATTAAACAAGTTATTAAACAAGATCTCCTGATTAATGACTTATTGGAAGAATTGGTCTTAAATAGAGTATAATGTTATTATGTAATTAATAACTGATCTCATTTTGGTTTTTTTTTTCCCTTCAATTCCCCTTATAACAAAGCCAATTATATATGAAAGGAAAGTACATAAGGTTAGCGCATAAAAGACAATAGAGCATACCGAACACCAACTTGCCAGAAAAGTAGGAAGACAAAACCCATCAACTACGGAGCAATGTTTTAAAAGTCAGACTGGAAGTCAAACCAGAAAGATCAACGGGTCATGGTTCAATCGGTTGAATCGGTCGAACTGTTCGGTCAGACCGGTGACGCAATAATTAATTTAAAATAATATTATATACATATAATTAATATATATGAAAAATATCAAATTATTAAATAATTTAGAAATGTATTTAAATAATCTAAAATTATAATGAAATCATTGAAAATGGACTAAAACCTTATATATTTAAATTTACGTATGTTTAAAATATTTAATGATATTAAAAATTATCAATTCATTCAAATCAAAATATTGTTTTAAAAGATAGACCAAATATCGAAACAAAAAGACTAGTGACTCACAGTTTTAACACCACAATATATGAAATTTTCAATGAAATAATACTATATAATTATAAATAGTCTAAAAATATATTAGGATATTTAAGGGGGTCAATTTTTTTTCTTCTATTTTTTTAAAAAAATGTTTAGTATTTTTTCAGTCAGGCTAAAAAACCGTCCGGTTTTCTAAAAACCGCTTTGGTTCCCGGTCCAACTCCGGTTTCCGGCTTAATGACGGTTCAACTCCAGTCCAATCCGGCTCAACCATGTGAACGGCTTTTTGGTCCAAACCGAGCCGTTAACGAGTCCGGTTGACGGTTCAACCGGTCCAATTGTCCGGTCCGGTCCGGTTCTTTAATCATTGCTACGGAGACTAACAATAATGTAACTATCCATACTGATGACCAAATTAAGATTACCAACAAATTGAAGCATAGAAAAGATATTATAGTCAACTTCCAGCAATATGAAGAAAACCGAGGCTAATTTTGATAATGTAAAAGAAAAAAGGCATTTATATATTTAAGTTAAAATAAGATATTTATTAAGAAAATAATTTGTGTCTTTCTGAAAATCAAATAAAAAACTTAACGAGTAAAAAAAAAACATGGAATTATTGACAAGTGACTTCTATATTGAAGTATCATAAATTCGTATTTTTCTTTGCAACTGTTAATTAGCATTTAATTTCAGTATGTTTTTTTGCAGACGTCAACCACGTACAATTAGAAAGCTATTACCTGCCACCAGCCCCGGCCATGACTTCTCAATCACGACTAGGTAAGGTTAAATTAAGGATTTTTTTTTTTTAGTTTTGACTGGAGTTGACTTTTAATTTTTTAAAAAAAAATCGTTAAAAAAACTTTAAAATTGCAAAATCACAGATTGGAACCTGTTACAAAATTTGTATAGGTTCTAACAACAGTCTAATGGCAAATGAAAATAAAATTTTGACAAAATATCTGATTTGCAATTTCACGATTTTTATAGTCTTCTTTTACGATTTTTTCTTAAATTTTACAACACAATCTTTATAGCTTTAGCTTGTTTGTAACTTGATCCTTAAATTTTAACTTAATACAACCCAATTCATATAATTTAACCATTTACGAATTAGTCCTGTATTTTTAAAAATAAAATTATATATTTCATGAAGTTTAGTGACTAAAATTTAAAATAGTTTAAATTATAGTGACTAAGTTATAGTAAATTAAATTGTTGAAGTTCAGGACCAAGTTACCATCAAGAAAAAACAATAGAGACTAAGGCCTTGTTTGTTTCTGAAAACTATTTTTTGTTTTTAAAAAAATTAAAAAAAATTGTTTGGCTACTTGTTCTCAGCTAAGTGTTTTAAAAGCAAAAAATATATATAAATTTTCTTTTTTAAAAAACAATTTTTAGTTGTTTTCTTGGTTTTTTTGTTTGAAAAAACTGGAAAATTCTTGCTTCTTTATCGATGACTTTTTCTTAATTTAATCAGTATCTGGTCTAAGTATATGTATTTTCATATGTTATTTTTCAGAACAATTATCTAAATAGATTTTTTAATTTGTTTTTCCAAAAATTATTTTAAAAAAATAATTTTATAAAAATTTTTTAAGAACAAAAATAAACAAAAAAAGTACCAGACAAATCCTAAGTTGCAATCTAAGGACTTAGTCACAATCAAGTAAAAAGTAATTCATTTTTTCAATTCAAAATTATGTGTTGCTTCGAATGACGATGACGCAATGCAAATGCAATCTTTGAGAGAACTTTCCACCCAAGTCAATTTAAATTTGTTGGAGTTTGTTTGCTATATCCAAAAGAAAATGAAAGTCTTGAAAATTAAATTTTAATGAAGCATGACAAATCTGTTATTTTCAACTGCGCCTTGCATAATCCAATCACCGTAACGTTGAACAACAAGATCCTTCGCCACTTAACTACCCGTACTGGCCATCAGTCCCAGCCGTGGCTTCTCAAGGACAGCGAGCAGGTAACCCTAAGTCAATCTTTTGGTTTTCACTGTACAGTAACTTAACTCTTAAATTTAATTTGCTGCAATACAATCCTTATAATTTTAACTCAGTCATACAACTTAGTTCATATAGTTTAGCCATTTAAAAAATTAGTCCCTGTATTTTTAAAAATAAAATTATGCTACTTCCATTCCTTAACATGAGATTTATTTTGTAGTTCAATTGCTTTATTATAAAATAGATTTTATATTAAGAACTAAAAGTAGTATATATTTCATGAAGCCTAGTTATCAGAATTTTGAGTAGTTTAAACTATAAGGGTCAAGTTGCAGTAAATTAAAGTTTAAAAATAGAGTCATCATTAAGTTAAAACAAGAGGGACTAAGTTAAAATAAAAAGATTGAAAAAAAAATGAAAGTCTTGAAGAGTAAATTTTAATGAAGCATGACAAATTCGTTGGTAACGACTGGGCCTTGCAGATTCCAACCAATTGCCCTACAATGGAGGTCCTTGGCCGGTCAACGGCCCACAGCCCCAAAACCGTCTCCGGCCACCAGCCGCGCCTGCTTACGGGTAAGGTTAAGTTAAGGGGAAGTTATTATTTCGGTCCCATTGTTAATGTTTTCTTCTATTTTGAAAATTTATATAAACCACTTTTAAATTTAAAATATTAAAATTTTTGTTACTAAAATACCTCACTTTAACATAAGAACTATTTAAATATTTATTTTTGTTAAAAATAATTTTTTATACTGCCATAAAATAATTCTAATGCATATATTTTCAAATTTTCTAATATGTTATAAAATTCATTAATTTTATTATTATAAAACTCTATAATTTTAATTATTCATGATATTTCTTGAAACTTATTTATTTTATTTTAATTAAATGATTTAAAATATGTTTTAAACACTGTATTTTGTTGATCATACAGTGTACATGATATAAATACTAGAGATTATATAAATCGTTTAAATTTATAATTTATAAGTTTTAAATACATTTTTGCCGCAAAAATATATAGACATATATATTTAGTTAAGCATATATTTATTAAGAGGATTAACCTTATCTTGAATCAAGTTTTCCATGTCTGCATCAACTAAATTACTTACACTTTAATCCCAATGCGAAAAACATTATATTAAATAAATAACTATTTTCCAAAACAAATGAAATTAAGAAAAATAACAGGAAACTCTTAAATTATTCAAAAAAATTTAAGTCAAAATAAAGAATTTAATACAACAAAGTGTAAATTAGGATATAAAATTTATTCTAATATAAATTTTGATTAAAATATTTTTAAAAATATTTTTAACAGAGTTTGTATTTAAGTGCGTGTTTTTAAAATATGGATGAGTTCTATGTAATTAAAACAAAATATAGAGAAGTTAGAGTATTTTTACTCTTTTTTTCAATATGATTTATGGTTTCATTTTTTTTTAAAAGGTGATTTTGGTTTATTAAATACAATGGAGTTGTTGAGGAAACGTGGAGATAAAGATGAAGAACGTGTTGAAAATAATTCACTTGCAGCTTATTTTGATAGTTTAATTAAATTAGCTCATCAGAACTATAAGCTAGAAGGAGGTTATTTTCATTACATTCGCCCCCAAACTTCACCACCGGCAACTCCCATCAACATGGATTTGCATTGGGTGCTCATCAGTTTTGATGAGCACCCAATGCTCATCAAATCTGGACGGTCCAGATCTGATTTTAATTTTTATTTTTTTAAAATAATTATTTTAATAGATATAGGATAAAAAATAAAGATAATCTCTTAACTATTATTCTTTAAAAATATAATTTTTTATATTTTAAAATAATTATTTAAAAATATTAAATCTGGACTGTCCAGATTATTATCTGGATGGTCCAGATTGCTCATCAGTGATGAACACTGGGTGCTCATCACCTCATGAGCACCAAATGGGGACCCCATCAACATGCACCCTTAATATTACAACCAATTAGAATCACTTTTACTTCTAATTAATCCTAACAAACGGGCCTTAATTTCTCTCAATTTGAGGATTTTTTTTTTCCCATCTGGGTGTTGTGATGACATGGTAGGCTGCTATTCGCCAGCATTGGAGATTCAGTAATTCCAAGATGGAAACTTGAGTATCTGAGAATTGACCCCCCTCCTTTTCCCTTTCTTTTTGATAAGAAAAGCTTGAAAAAAAAAACAAGGTTCAACATAATTAACGTGATTAAGCAGGTGGTTCTAGCTTAAGAAGGAAGGATTCGCCTAGATGATGATCTGAGACTGAGGAAATCGCCTAAGACGTCAATCCAAGGAATCCGTGGAGGAGTGAACCTAGTCTACAATTTGATTCGAAAGAAAATAGACATGGTGTTATGGTTAAACACAATATATATCCACACGCATATGAGTTGGATATATATAATTTGTTGTTAGCTTTTGCATTTATAGTTCTTAATATAAGACTTAGTTAACTATAATGAAGTAATTAGTAACTTTATTGATCTCACTAATTAGTCAATTGGATTTTATATTAAGAATTGGAGATAAAACCATGTAGTAAATTATTTACTTGAGAAGTGTAATTTGGTGATTTCATCCAACTTCTGCAATGAATGAATTAATATGTGGATTTGCCTTGAATAAGTATTGGGTATGTTATAAGTTCAAGCACAATGATGTTATAAATGACCTAGCCCATAACGGATAGATTGGTTTCAGGTTCTCCTTATATATTTCACGAGATAAAATGAGAAGAAAAGATATGACTTATTTTCTTTCTATTCTGTTTTAGAGGGTGTTTGGTTTCCCCTAAAAGTACTTTTAAAAAATATTTTCACACAAATTGAGATAAAATTTCTCTACATATTTATTTTATATACTGTAAAATTCTTTTTAAAATTATGGTTGGATTTCAAGTTCTCTTTATTATATATTTCACAAGATAAAATGAGGAGAAAAGATGTCACTTCTTTTCTTTCTATCTTGTTTTAATTATATTTACTTTTATAATCAGTTACTTTACTTCCTTCGTTTATCCTATTGTAGTCCGGTATTTCCTTCTGGCCATGCATATATAGTGCGGTTTCAGAAACCACCATGACTCATTTTGAGAGAGACACATAATAGTCAACGGTAAAGTCAACGAATCCGCCGCACCACTGGCCATCTAATCATCGCTTCCATGAGGCATCTTGTAATTAAATAGAAATTTACTTGCTTTTTCTCATTCTGAAACCCAAGAAAGACGCTCTTGAACGGAGCCAACACTTCGCCGCCGGCCATATCGCTGCCGCGGTCTCCACTACGGATTAGACTATGATTACCCCATGCAGCCGCCTCCTCCACCTTCCCCGCCGCCACCTCTTCGAGCTTGGCCGGCGGTTCCTTCCTCACTTGTAAAGCCGCTGCTGTATGGGAGAAGAGTTATTTCACAGTTCGAACTAATTACGATGACAGTGATTTGTTCGCTGCTAACTTTGGGGTTTTGCGTCATTTTCTTCGTATGAAGAAAGAAGAGAAGGCCGAGACGATCTTTGTTGAGCAATCAGTCTCCACAAGCACAGCAACCGCTAGGGAAATCATTTCTGCTTTTCTTTATTTCAACCATTTGCATCGAAGAGTTGGCTTAAGAAAGAAATTGTGTTATTTTTCCCAAAGCTTCTTTAAGATATATATGGGCCTGTTTTTTTTTATTTTCTTATTCTCAAAACAATTTTACAGAATTGTTTTTTAGAACAAGTTTGAAAACCAAAAAACAAAAGAATTTGTTTGGACAATAATTTTAAAAAATCATGTTTGACAAAAAATTATAGAAAATTACACTTGGTAGGTAATAGTTGTCGCTGATAATAATAAGTGGTAGATAATAGGTAAAAAGAAAAGAAAATTTCTCAAAATTATTCAAAACAAAAAATAAAAAACACAAAAACAAAATAAAAAAACGTGTAAATTTTGTTGGTTTTTTTTTAGTTTTTAAAAACATATTACTGTTTTTTTTTTTGTTTTTTAAACAATCAACTAAAAACCAAACAAGTTTTTTTTAAAAAAAACAAAAATTGTTTTCAAAAAAAAAATCAAACAAGTTCAGAGTCTTAGAGTTCGACCTCTCTATTTGATCTAAGTCCACACACAGCAAATCAAACCTTTAACTTAAACCCAAAAAATAATATTGGTTAAATTTATAGCTCATTTTTTCACCAAAACTTTCCACCATGCCCGAGATTGCTGAGCATATCATCTCCACGAGTATCATCTTAATTAGCTTCTGAACGTTGGCTACTGTAATGAACACTCCCATAACGGCATCAATCCCAGCCAGCATGCGCTCATGTGTCAATTGGGCCTCGAGTCTCATCTAGCCCATATACTGGGCCCTTATAGCCACTTGGGCCTGGGTCCATAACATTTCCCTCCCCATCGAATTTGACCGTCCTGTCCTCAAGGTCAAAGCTGTCGCAAAAAAAGTTTCTTAAGCAAACCAACCGGTGTCACAATGTGGCAAACTAGTATTTGAATTTTATTAGAAGATGTGCTCATACTTAGTGCCTGATAGGGCTTCGTATATGATTGCCTTCAATAAGAGAATTCTTATACCTAACTGAAAAAAATTTTTAGGAAAGAAATGTGGAGAGTTGGCTTCGATCTGAAATGGGCCGTAGAACTTCAAAGCCTCTAGTTTCGCCTGCTAAGTACGCTTAGCTGTCGGTAAGGTCGAAGTTTCATCAACGCCTGGTCTCCAACTTCAAAATATAGATCAGTATGCTTCATATCAGCATACTTCTTTTGCTTTCAGTTAGATGAATTAAGTTTTTTTATAACAAATGTATCTTGTTTAGAACCATTACTTGATTAGGCAAAAAAATTATAAATTTGAGAAGCAATGCAAATTGATATCTTATATTTAAAATGTGTACACACACATATATATATAAATGACACATATTTGTTGGAAGATTTTTTATGATCCATTGGACAGGTGTGATTTTTTAAAATTGTTTTGGTTGTTACAATTATTTTGTTTTCCTGGGGTGTATAATGTTAATGAATTCTCTGATATGTAGTTTGTTCTGGCAAGTTTGTGCTTGTTGCTTATTTGTAAAACTTGATCGAATTTGCTAGACTGCATCTTCATATAGTTTGCGTTTCCATTTCAATCGTGAGAAGATAATGAGTAAATGCTTCAAGATCCTTAAATATGGATTTATATTGGGTGCTATCAGTTCTGAACCGTCCAGATCTGATTTGGACGGTCCAGATTTATTTTTTTTATTTTTATTTTTTAAAAATAATTATTTTAATAGGTATAAGATAAAAATAAAGATAATCTCTTAATTATCATTTTTTAAAAATATAATTTTTTTATTTTAAAATAATTATTTAATAATATCAAATCTGGACTATCCAGACCAGATTGCTCATCACCTGCTGAGCATTGGGTGCTCATCACTTGTCCCTTAAAATATAAGAACTTCTCATTGGAAACCAGTTTCTGTTTGGCTTGTGAAATTTTGTTTTAGGAAATATCCTTTAGGATTTAGTGGTAGCATAAACCGAATTTATTATATATCATGCTGGTCAGG